ATATAATTAAAATATATTAAAATATTTAAATCAAAATTAAGGATTAGTAAAATATTAAGTAAATACCTATACGAAAATATTCGTAAAGTTTTTTTTTGGTAGATCACTCTGTAGAAAAACTTGTACATTTATACAGGTATATATATATATATAAAAAAGTACACACGTTAAAGTAACATTCGTCCTTGTTTACCTCGATTTGAAATTCCCGGATTATGACGTCCTATCGAATACTGAAAAATTCTATCACTCTAAGGCCATCCTCAAATCCGATCCCATCCATCTTTTTCAAACTTTCATCCGATTGCGATCGACGTTATCGAAATTATAGCTTTTACGAGAAACTCACATAAATAAGAAGAAATATATTTCTATCCAGAGTTTGTTTCTCATGTTACATAACCCTTTCCATACCACCTACAACTCACCCCCTCCCCAAGCCACTCTCACCTTACATTTCTTCTCGTCAAAAACACAAAATCTCTCGTAAAGACAAATTTTTCTTTTTAAACCTGGAAATTTGCTTTCTTTGGAAAAATCTTTCCTAAAAGAAAAAAAAAAAGAAGAAAAAAAAGATAAAGAAAGTGAATAAAAAGAAGGGATGTTTTTTAGGTCACCCTAATGCTATCTTATTTCAGGTGAATGTAAAGTTTCAGCAAGAGGAATGTAAACTGGTGTTCGACTGAACTGTAAGATAAGAAGAGACCTTTCTAAGTGTTCAACATTTTTAAATGTTCAAAACTAGGTCCATCCTAAGTTATTTTTACACGTGTCTCATCCTTTGTTTAAATCACACACACACACACACATATATATATATTCTTCTATGTTTATATTCCAACTTATTATTTCAATACTATTCGTTACGTTATTAAAAAATAATAGAAAATAAATGAAACAATAACAAAAGAGAGAGAAAGAGAGAGAGAGAGAGAGAGAGAGATAAAATATATATCGGAGAAAGAAGAAAGAGTGAGAGAAGAACAATAGAAAAATATAAACAAAAGGAGAGAAAGATAACAAAAAAAAATAAAATAAAATAAAAATAAAAAATAAAAAAAAAACTGTAAAAGAAATTAGAAAGAGATAGAAATAGAAAAACAATTTCGCGGAGGAGAGAATACACAGATTTTTTTTCATTAGCCGGTAAGCGAATCGCTGTAACACGATGGGAAAATTCAATTACGTACGTTCGTTAAAACAAATTTACTTTATACTTTCGCGATCACGAATTTTAATTTGTTCGTCTCGGCTAGCGTAGTTATATAGAAAGAATGGGCGTGTATATGTGCGCGCGCGCGTCTCTCTTTCCTATATATATATATATATATAGATATATATAATATATATAGATATAGATACATACATATGCATATATATATATATATATATTGTATATATACATTTCTTTTTCTCTTACACTATCTTTTTCTCTTTTTATACTTTAAAAGTGGGTGTGAGTGAGTGAGTGTATACGTGTACATCCCTGTGTCGTGTGTATATATATATATATATATATATATATGTATATGTATATGTATATATGTATGTTTTTATGCCCTTTCAATCTACGTTTATTCATTCTTTTATGGATACCTGCCGGGCTCGCCTTTCATTTTGTTTCAACAGAGAAGAGGACCGAATGAAAAGTTGGAACGAGCGGTGAAGGGAAGGAGGAGAAATAAACGAGAACGAGAGAACTAAAAGAAAAAGAAAGAGAGGAGGGAAGGGTAGAAAGGGGGTGGGGTGGGGGTGGGGGTTTGTGATGGAGGGGTAACAAGAAATGAAGGAAGAGGAAGAAAAAGAAATAGTAGTGGAGAAAAAGACAGAAAATAAGAGTGAGAAAGAGAGAGAGAGAGAGAAAGAGAGAGGGTTGTTACAGTCGTGAGAGAACAAGAAGGGGGAGGAGAAAAGAGGGTAAAAGTAGAGACCTACGATGGAAACGGAGGAAAGACCTATAGAAGGGGTAGATAAACCGGTAGAAATGCATTAGATATCCGCAGACGATATTACCCGAGGAAAAATTCTACTTTCTCAAAGAGTCACTTTTTTTTTTTTTTTTTTATTTTATTTCATTTTATTTTATTTTATTTATTTCTTTTTCTTATTCATTCGTCTTTTAAGGGGGATGCTTTTTAAAATGATATTTTAAACGATATTTCTTATTCTGGTCTTATATATGAATTAGTTATTAGTTGTTGTTGTTGTTGTTGTTATAAATGATTATGATAATGATGATGATGATGATGATAAGATTTAGAACTATTGAGTAATGTAAATGATGATGATAATGATGATAATGATAAGGTGTCTAATTATTGAGTAATGTAAATGATGATGATGATGATGATGATGATGATAATGATGATAAGGTGTCTAATTATTGTGTTGAGTAATGTAAATGATTATAAAATTAAATAGATTAATTATATAATATAATTAATATTATACATCTTACACATTATTATATTAGGAGTACGAAAAAGTAATCAAAAGTTCTATGATGAGTATACTCACATTTAGTTTGTGTCAATGAAAAATTGAAATTGTTTTAAATTAAACAATCTCCTTTACGTATGGCAAAAAGTATTAGAAAATGATGAACAACATTTTTTCGTGATTAGTATTTAAAATTTTTTTAATAAATAAATGTTTTTCGCAGATAAGGAAAAGTTTGATTACTATTCGATCCCTTTAATATATAATTTTATATATATATAATATTATGTAATAATTATTTATTATATAATATTATTAATATTTATAATTATTAATAAAATTAATAAATATAATATGTAAAATATAATATAATATTATTAATATTCATATTATTTAAATGAATTACAATTATTA